TAATCTATTCCTCTTACTCTCCTTTCCTACAACCCAATCCCTTTTCAAGCCAAATCGACTCTCATCTACATTGCGATAGTGACGCATATTACGTTCATCAGAATCCTTAACGGGAATTGTAAGTTTATCGCTAGACTCAGAATCACTCATAATCATCCTAGACCTCTTTCTATCTATCCATGACTCCAAATTCGGACGATGATTCTCTGAATACGAACAAATTCTACCAACACCATCGTTCTTCTTCACAATCAAGCAACCAGAGGAACTTCTTTTCTTAATCATTACCCCTAGAGGTTCACCGGATCTCCTCTCACCTCTCTCCATATACACCAAAAATCCGATTTAACACCCCAAAAATTTCCCTCAATTTCAGCACAGATTCCGAAATGCAATCACCAGAAACCATGAATCTACAACGTCGAAGAACCCTAAGAACGCCAGATCTAAATCGACGATAGATCGATTTGCTTATATTCCCTTCAATGAGAGACGAGACGTGACCAGTAACTGCAACGAATGATTTTCCGACGCGACGACGAGCAAACACGCGATGGCTCCGCCGATCAGCCTAAATGGATTTTACTCCGGCGGCGGACGGCGTAATTATATAATTTCCGGCGACCACAACACGAGAAATTGGAAGAAAGAGAAAAGCGGATTGTTCCAAACACGGCCTCGATTATATTTTCCACTGTTTAAGAAAAAGAAAAAAAAAACTCGTCATTGTGTAAATTAGTAGGAATTTTGTTTAAATTTAAAATTTAATGATAATATAATTACGTGTGCTTAATTATCCGCTAATCGTTGTAGTTTGTACTTTTGTACGTACCTCTACTTTATTTTTTCCCTCCAAATCTCGTTGGGCGACGCAAATCGCTTTGGGACTTTAGCAGTGATGTATGACGTGTCAAGATCTATTTTCCGGTAATCGAAAATGACGTGGCAAGATCTTATTGCTTCACCAAAAAAAGTTATTGCTTCACCAAAAAAGTTACTGTACAATTAATTAATCTGCACAATTTCTGTCGATTACTGTAAAACATGTTCCCCGACTCCCCACTCCCCACTCCCCAGACCATAACTGTAAGTAACACTTCGATTTTTATTAGTAACACGAAAATGGTATAAGTTTTTCAGCGGTAAATTGTACAACATAGTGTAAGCTGTAGAAAATAACTGTAAGAAAAATTTGTACAAATAAAGTTGAGTGTAATGTTTCTAGTTAAGTGTTGGTATCGATTTTGTGACTGGTACAATCTAAAACGTTTCAAATTATAAAGTGGCGGTATGTTTAATAGTTTTATTTAATTTAATTGATATACTTTTTTGGTAGAAAAGACCCAAAAATTTGACAAACAACTCGAACTAACCGCATGCCCATCAATTCTAAAGTATTCACCAAATTTTAATTATTTTGATTGATTGAAGAAACATTGTTTGAAAAGTATTTTAAATCTAATTTTTACGTATTTTAATTTTTTTAAATACCATAATTGAATTTGGTTCGTTTACTCAATTAAAAAAAAATCAGTAGTAGTCTAGTTCGATTTGGTTTGGTATATCTCCTGTTCGAAAACGCGACGATTAGGGCCAATTACTCGGCGAAAAGGCGCTCGACGGCAAGAGTCCGAGGGGATTTTGTGTTAATTGGATACTTAATCGGATATTAAGAAAAAAAACTCAATTTTTTAACCATTTTAAGTTCAAAATTGATTGTAACTCGACGGATCTGTCATATTTTATTATAAAAAGTAAGAAAAGGCAAAAAAAATGAAGAAAAAAACGTGAAGAAATGGAAGAGGGGCGGCGGCTAGGGTTGCAGGAGCGTTTCTTCTTGATGAAGAAGATGAAGTTATTTTTGTAATTTCGAGTTTCATTAAATTAGAAACGAGAAATCAAGAAGGGCTCCAACTCAAATTCAGGGGAAACTTATCTTCGTACAAACCACCAAGCCAAGCTAACTTATTGTTATATTTACGAAAATCTAAAATATATACTTTATTTTTTTTTTAAATGTTC